TTTATGATCACTCTTCCGATAAGTCCCTGAGCATTTCCCCAGGCGTTCTCTCTCCAGGGGCATAAAACAAAGCGTTGTCGCAAAACCTAAGGTGGCGTTTTTTTCACCGGGACCAAACACTTGTGTTGATGTTTGGAAATGCGCGTTTTGCATGCGAGGTTGCATTAGGTTGGCAAAACTAACTACAGAAGATATAAAAGATGGATTAAACTCTGTGCACACACGCTGGTCGACAGAACTAACAACTGGAAAAAGAGCAGGGTTCGAATACCGTTCAGCTCTACAGCGCGCCAAATTCCAAAAGGGTGTTTAGGCATTCGTAGTACAGAAACTCTAGTTGAAACTCTAGTCTTTCCACTGTATTTTTAGGAGACTGTATTTTGGAGACGGGAATAATCAACACTTCATGGAAGGATGGCTTCTATCCAAACTGCCCACAGTCGCCCGTAGAATGATCAAATCGTTCTTGCAGATTACACAAAGCACCGTCCAAGAGGCGTGTTTTATAAGACTGAAACACGCTCGAGAAGATCTGCTGGGTCCGAGGAACCCAAAACGCAACTGGGGAATTGTCGCACATGTATTACTGACACGTGGCACAACGGTGGCGAAACACACGCTCCGAGACTTCGGAGAACTCTCCACCAAGCATGTACCGCTTGACAGCTCACTGAAAGTTGTGAAAACGTTGTGCTCGAAGTACCCCTCGATTGAGCAAGACCTACTCACTGTAGACAAACAGCAACCTATCCTTTTATCTGTCTTTTCGGAGATCATCACTTTCAAGCTCCGATGTACGCCAACGAATTTTTCATCCACCTCTGTTTTAACATCCGGTCACACAGGGAGTTGGAAGTAATCGTTGAAGGTACTACCTGTTTTGTCCTCAACGGGTTCAACACCGATCGACGTAACTGTCATCGTCGACCCTGGGAATGATGTGGAAGCAGTGGAATCGTGGCCGAGAGTTTACGGGTATGAAGGCTTGTTTCTTTTGTTTCTTAATACAGGGAGACCACAGAGTCACACCAAGTATTGTCAGGCGTATTTTTGACCACGTCGATCAGCATAGTCACTGATTGGTCATCTTGAGTTGCTTTTTGGAAAACCAATACTTAACCAGTAGATGAAAAATATTCATTCAAGTGCACCCATGCGTACTTGTTGTTGAGCGAGTCTGACGCGTTAGCCAGATAGTTCGGAGTTCATATTCCTCTACAATAGAGTATACGCACTACTGATGGGTTCCAGCAACAGTGGAACCCTTCTGCTAAAAATAATCAGAATACTCATGGCAAGAGGAGGGTTGTTAAAGCAACAGTTCCCGTTGCACACTGTCGGGGTTATTCGTTGGCATGCAGCTGAAGTTG